TTTCCATTATCAAATAGCTTTTTAAAATATATAATTACACATATGTTCATAGCATACATAAGTGGAATTTTTTTTCATAAGATGGAATTAAGCTGCAATCAGTCATATTTATTTTTCTTTTTAAAACTTTTTTTGGGGAAAATAACAGGAAATTAAAAAGTACGGTGAATTCCTATGTATCTTTCACCCAGCTTCGTCCAATGGTCACATCTTGCATAACTAGAGCACAATATCTATCAATTCAACCAGGAAATTGAATGGTACAATCCACAGAGCTCATTCAGGTTCACCAACTTTGGATATGCTAATTGGTGGTTATATAATTCTATGCAATTTTATCTTTTTATTAATAACTAAAACTTTTTTTTAAGATTTTATTTATTCACTCATGAGAGACATACAGAGAGAAGCAGAGACATAGGCAGAGGGAGAAACAGGCTCCAAGCAGGGGGCCCGATGCGGGACTCAATCCCAGGTCCCCAGGATCACAACCTGAATGGAAGGCAGAGGCTAAACCACTGAGCCACCCGGGTGTCCCTGTTTTGTTTTTTTTTTATTTTTAATTTTTATTTATTTATGATAGTCACACACAGAGAGAGAGAGAGAGAGAGAGAGAGAGAGAGGCAGAGACATAGGCAGAGGGAGAAGCAGGCTCCATGCACCGGGAGCTGACGTGGGATTCGATCCCGGGTCTCCAGGATCGCGCCCTGGGCCAAAGGCAGGCGCCAAACCGCTGCGCCACCCAGGGATCCCGTTTTATTTTAATGATTGCTTTGGGATCTTCATCAGTCTACCTTCAAGTGACATTATACCATTTTCTGTATAGCAGTGGTACTCAACTTACTTAGTAATGGTTCTCCCCTGGGGGCTATATCTAGATATTTTTGAAACAACTGAGGTATAGTGATACTGGCATCTAGTGGGTAGAAGCCATGGGTGCTGCTAAGTTTCGTATAATGCACAGGACAGCCCAACACAACAGTCCAAAATGTAAGACAGGGGCACCTGGCTGGCTCAAGGAGAAATGCATCCAGCTCTTTATTTCATGGTTTTGAGTTTGAGCTCAAATTGGGTGTAGATAACTTAAGCTTTTTTAAAAAGCTATGCAGGAAGCCTGCTTCTCTCTCTGTGTGTGTCTCTCATGAATAAAGATTTTATTTATTTATTTATTCATTCATTCATTCATTTATTTATTTGAGAGCGAGGCCGACGGAGAAGCAGGCTCCATGCAGGGAGCCGGATGTGGAACTCGATCCCGGGTCTCCAGGATCACGCCCTGGGCTGAAGGTGGCGCTAAACCGCTGAGCCACCGGGGGTTCCCAATAAATAAAATCTTAAGAAAAAGAAAAGGAAAGAAAGAAAGAAAGAAAGAAAGAAAAGAAAGAAAGAAAGAAAGAAAGAAAGAAAGAAAGAAAGAAAAGAAAGAAGAAAGAAAGAAAGAAAGAAAGAAAGAAAGAAAGAAAGAAAGAAGAAAGAAAAGAAAGAAAGAAACCTGTTGTAATCCCTATCTTTTTCCTCTGCACTGTTTTTATAATTTTCTCTTGACTGTTTTTGAGAAATTTGTGATGCACCTTGGAGTAATTTTCTTCAGATTTATTCTAGGTTTATTGCTCTACACTACAGAGGCAAGACCCTTCTGAGTAGTTTACCCAATGCACAAAGGAATTGTGTCTGACTCATGGCAAGACAGTATTTCTTACCTTGTTTCTGTGCCTGGAACTGTTCACTCCAATCCTTTGGAATGTTCCCCCCGCCGCCCCCCTGGCCTTAGATAAGTTTCCTCATATAATGTGCCCATCAGTACTCTGCTGAATATCCTGACCATTCACAGATCTCCAGAAATCTCTGCATAGTTCTCTCTCCTCCAGTACTATCTTGTGAACCCTACCTGCCTTGGTCTTCCTGGATTCTCCTCTCTCAACTCAGGAATTTCACCAGACTCCACCAGCTCCCTCTCCCTATGCTACTGCCTGGGGATGCCTGGGGACTTTTTTTTCTTTTAATTAATTTAATTTAATTTAATTTAATTTAATTTATTCATGAGAGACACACAGAGAGAGAGGCAGAGACACAGGCAGAGGGAGAAGCAGGCTCCACGCAGGGAGCCTGACGTGGGCCTCGATCCCGAGTTTACCAGGATCACACCCCAGGCTGCAGGTGGCGCTAAACCGCTGCGCCACCGGGACTGCCCGCCTGGGGACTTTCTTAAGGCAATAAACTGGGGCACATATGGCTCACTTAACTTGTTTCTCTATATCAGAAATCAAAAATCCTTGATTTTTGTTACTGATATCAATAGGACCAAAATCATTGTTTCATATATTTTGTCTGGGATTCTTGTTTCAGGTAGGAATGTAATTCTGGTCCCTCTGACTCTAACATGGCCAGAAGAGGGAGTCTCTCCTTCAGTTTTATTCATGTTTAAGTATTTTCTCATTCTCATTAAGTTTTCTTCAAATCATGGATTATTTAGAAATGTGTTTATTTTCCAAATGTATGTGGTTTAATTAATTAATTAACTCAGTTTAATTAGATAACTCAGTTTTTAAAAATTCACTAACTTTTAAATAACCATTCAAGAATACTTGGAAATGTGCATACATAATTTTATATTACTTTCTTGGTTTAGAGTTTTCTAAATTTGAACTCTAAATTACCATGAGGATTGACTCATGACTACTAATTATTAGAGGCTTTTATTTTCTACTTAAAGTCCATGACAAAACTCACAAGCTTCCTTGATGTTTTCCTCTGCTCCTGGTTGACCTTTTCCTAATGCATGCTTTCACTGGGAGTATAGTACACATCTGGGGTTCTTATGGAAATCTCACTTCCAATTCTCCACCTCTTGCAAGACCACAGATTCAAATTCTGCACTTGCAGCAGGTAAAATCTATGTCCCTTGGTGACCAATATTATCAAACTGCCTCACAGCACCCAAAGTATCATCACCCACTTACCTTTCTGACTTCCACCTCCTATTTACTTTAGGCTCTGTGTGTTTACCTCACCTTCTCAAAAGCCCTTGAAAAGAATGTTTAAACTTAATCCAGAATTTCTAGGTTGTTTTGCAGCCAAAGGGCTTTATAATTATCTAGTTTGCCTTACTGTTCTTTTATGCCTTTTAAGGACATTAATCTCTGCTCAATTTTGTGGTAAAACAGACTGCAAATGTGACAGCATTTTATTTCATACTCCATAAACTGGTTGCTAATTTGTCATGGTTATACAAACTTTGGTATATGTCTTAATAATTTTATAATTTATAGGTTCTTCTGAGGGAAAAATGGACTATCATCACAGTAGTCAGGTAAAGAGTCAAGGCTCCTAATGAAAAATTTTCAATTCCCACTGCAAAAGTGTTGTTTTATATAGACTCCTGGACCTTGGCCCACATTTGGCGGGCCTTGGAAATTGATCTGTGTGTGTGCTGTTACCTCCTGTGATTCCCAAATTTGGAATCCACTGGCCTTAGTTTCAGAGACTGGTTACAGGTTTTGCAGGTCTACAATCCCTGTGGTCAAACTGTACCATGTACATTTAAATGGTCAGTGGGAAGAGTGGGAACTAGTCAGGTTCTTATCTATGATGCCCAGAAAGGAGTCTGCTATCTCCTTTATACCACTTTATACCACTCACAAACATACTTTCTGGAGCAGAAACAGACTTCAGGGAACAAGCCTGGTTTTATATATCCATCTGAGGTCTACGGAATGGTAAAGATTTGAAACACAGATGGGCCCAGAGAAAGGGACTCGGATAATAATTGGCTAAACAATTCCTCTAAGGAAATTATAGGACACTTTCTGTTGGCTAGGGAGCTCTGATTTATGTAGTAGGAGTATGAAAAGAACAAGCTTTGTGTTGCGTTTAAATCAGAAACAAGCAAAATCACATCATTCCAAAAACAGCTGCTTAAAGAAAAGCAAACTGAACTGTTTTCTTCCCACTCTGAACAAAGGAAACAAGATAAAAAAATTCAGTGGTATTTATAACAAGTGAATGACAACAGAATTTATTGGAGGAATTATAACTATGTCCTGCAAAAACAGTTTTATAACATCAGAGGTGATTAAAGACAATCAGTTTCAGAAAAAAATCTAACAACATGAGCATACTATTTTATTTATTTATATTAAATGGAATAATTAAAAAAAAAGAAGTCTGTCACTGAGGATACCGAACTAAAATAAAATTTAGTCTTATAGGATTTAAATGCAACAGAATTATTCAGCTATTTAAGCCCCTTTTTGGTTTGATTTTCTTCTCAGTTCCAAGTAAGACCTAATACAGTACACACCACCAATAAAATATATCTCTAAACCTAAGGAGAAACTCTTCTCTCTATGCAGATTCTTTGTCTTTCATATTTCTCTTCAATCAAAGCTATAAAAAATGAGATTTTATTTCACACTTTCTCAACTAAAAGGATACATATATATTCCTATTCCACACAAGAGCAATTCTACACAACCAGGATGTCTGTGGCTAAAAAATATCACCTCTTCATATTCCTCAAGAATATTCAGGGTACTAAAAACATAAATGAATAAGTGTGAGTGCACAAGAAGCCAGTAGATAACAAAAAAAGGGATAGGCAATACACAGTAGTCTAGCAATGGGTTTTTGATGGAAAATAGGGGAAAATGGAAATAAACTCAGGTAAATGAGTTGAGGGAGACCAAAACTAACAAATGCGTAGCCGCAGAGGAGGCACTGGTTTCCATTAGCACAGGTAACTGGAAAAAACACAGAGACATCCTGAATGCAGAGTGTGTCATGAAAAAGCCTGAAAGTATGATAAGAACTACATAATTCAAGTCTGACCGAAGTAAACAGCTGGTAGTCTCGAAAGTGTCCCTGGAGGAAGGTGGATGATCAGTTCACATTATACTACAGAATATTTATCTGAAAGGGTATGAGGACCACTTATCAGCATTTACCTGTGCAGCTTGAGAAAAGTATCAGCTTAGAAAACGGGTGAGGGTCTATTATCTTACCTTGCCTGGGGTAAGATATGTGAAGATCTGTATTCAGATTTCTGGGTTTGACATGGCACAGCATCCTTCCAGAAGGTATTTACTTTTGAAGATCACAAAAGTCTTTTAAGATGAAAAAGAGAGCCTATTTGAAGGAAGAATCTCAGGCACTATGACACAGTGATAGGAAATTGTTTTGGTTAGAGAATACCTGCTCAGTAAATACAGGAAGCATCAACAACTCTGCTCAGTAATAATAAATGCTCAAAATACAACCTCTGACAGGTATAAAGAAGCCAACTGACTGTTTTCTTAGTTTCAGCCACCAGTAGACATTAGTCATGGAGTTTCTACATAGGTAATCAGCAGGTGAGGATGGCTGGCATGACAAAAGGCATGGGATGCTAATTACAAATGCTTCCCTTAATTTTAGAAGGACATGTGACAAGAAGAAAATGATGGAAGGACCCTTAGTATTATAGTAGTGTAACCCACTGCCATATGTGGGTTATTCTACCCTTGTGTCCACATAGACTCTTAGGGAAGTGCCTATTCAACAGTGATAAAACAGTCCTATCCCTGAATCCAGCAACCTTCTTTTGAATAACCATACAAACAAAGATGGACTGTTACATCACAAAATTCCATGTACCAATCCTATAAAAATAGGACAAAACCAAACAATCTCTTTTCACACTATACCCTTTACAACCTTCTGCTTCTTTGTCTCCAGTAACAGCAAGGAAGAAATATATAATCCTTCAAACTAAATTACAAGGTGCAGGGACAAGCCATAAATCAAACTTAGGGAAGACAGATAGCATCTTCCTTATGAAATCATGATCAAATAATTATTTAGATACAATGTCCTTTCACAGAGGTGTCTACTCAGGAGAATCACAACTGGTCTCCTGCTCACATATAGAACCATCATGATGGGCAGAGGCACTGTGGTATAATGAAGAAAGCACAGACTTAAACCTCAGATCTGAGTTCAAATCCTGACTCCAATCACTAAGTAGCCAGTCACCTAACCCCAAGACACAATTTTCTTGTACAAATGTTATAAGAATTGAATGGGATAACAATAATCCTTATATGCATAAAACAAATGACATTAGGCTTAGGAATTCACCATAGACAAAGAAAGAGGGGCAACTGCATTTACAAATGGGCAGATTCTTTCTAAGTGTTCCCAGGTGGATTTTGAGCCAAGGACTTAGAAGTTTAAAATACTGGTTTAAGGCCTTCTCAAAGGGCTGGACTTAAAGACATGCAGAGGAAGCTAGTGAGCACCTGTAGTACTGACTGCACAGCATCCCTCCCTTCTCTTAAGAAAGGTTTTTATCGATGATAAAAGGGAGAAAGACTCAGCATTTCCTCACTTCCTGACCAACCTTGACAAGTTGGTGAGAGGTAGATCTGGGATCAGAACACCTATCACTGATTCCAAAGTCTGCACCTTTAGCTACTAAACTATACATAACATGAGAAGGCAGAGTCTTCCTAGTTTTAGATTATGCTCATTGCATCTTTACAGTTTTAAACTTGCAATTCTTTCAACTTCATAAGGGGACATTTTTTCTGGTTTTGTAGACATACACCTAAAAAATAAAGCTTCTATTATCTGTACATCCTTCTACAACTGTGGAGAGGAGACTGTAGTAAATTTTTGCTGTTCTTTTAACCTAACAGCTGACAACTATACAGCCAGCTTATTTTAAAACTGCAAAGACCAATGACTAGTGTTTATTATTTAACAAACAGTAAACAGGCTCTAAAAGGAAGTGATTTGCTCATGGTTCCACTACTACCAAGTACCAGTATTAGGGTGGAATCCCATGAGTTTAGGGTCCATATTCTCCATGCCTTTCATAACACTGTCGAGTGAAAATGAACATGTTCTGGTTGCACTTAAAAAATACTGTACTATTTTTAACTCTTTGAGGAACCTCCAGTTTTCCAGAGTGGTTACACCATTTCACATTCCCACCAACAGTATAAGAGGGTTCCCTTTCTCTGCATCCTCTCCAACATTTGTGGTTTCCTGCCTTGTTAATTTTCCCCATTCTCACTGGTGTGAGGTGGTATCTCATTGTGGCTTTGATTTGTATTTCCCTGATGGCAAGTGATGCAGAGCATTTTCTCACGTGTGTGTTGGCCATGTCTATGTCTTCCTCTCTGAGATTTCTGTTCATGTCTTTTGCCCATTTCATGATTGGATTGTTTGTTTCTTTGGTGTTGAGTTTAATAAGTTCTTTATAGATCTTGGAAAAGAGTTAAAAATAGACCTGCCCTATGACCCAGCAATTGCATTGTTGGGGATTTACCCCAAAGATACAGATGCAATGAATCGCCGGGACACCTGCACCCCGATGTTTCTAGCAGCAATGTCCACAGTAGCCAAACTGTGGAAGGAGCCTCGGTGTCCATCGAAAGATGAATGGATAAAGAAGCTGTGGTTTATGTATACAATGGAATATTACTCAGCCATTAGAAATGACAAATACCCACCATTTGCTTCAACGTGGATGGAACTGGAGGGTATTATGCTGAGTGAAGTAAGTCAATCGGAGAAGGACAAACATTATATGTTCTCATTCATTTGGGGAATATAAATAATAGTGAAAGGGAATAGAAGGGAAGGGAGAAGAACTAGGTAGGAAATATCAGAAAGGGAGACAGAACATGAAGACTCCTAACTCTGGGAAACGAACTAGGGGTAGTGGAAGGGGAGGAGGGCGGGGGGTGGGGGTGAATGGGTGACGGGCACTGAGGGGGGCACTTGATGGGATGAGCACTGGGTGTTATTCTGTATGTTGGCAAATTGAACACCAATAAAAAATAAATTTATTACTAAAAAAAAATAAATAAATACAAAATAAAAAAAAATACTGTACTTCTTTCCTGAATATAAAAGTAGTATGTTCTCATTGTAGAAAATCTAAAATGCATAGAAAAGTATAAAGAAGAAAATAGAAATAGCCTATAATTCTATCACCCAATGATAATCACTGTCAATGTTTTGGTTTGGTATTATTTCATAACCATTTCTCTACTATATGTAACTGCTTTTCAGATATTTGGATCAAACTTGTTTTTTCTCTATCTTCTGTATTATACAAATTTTTTCCCCATGGCATTAAATATTCTTTAAAGATGTTTATATAATGGCTGCAAAACCATCAAGTAGATAGACTATCATTCATTTAAACCACGTCCTATTGAAAATCTAGTTCTCTTCCTTGTTATATATGATGCTGGCATGAATATCCCTCTGTTAATCTTTGTTTCTGGTTACTTTCCCTGCATGGAGTCTTAAAAACTGAATTAAGTTGATAATAATGAAAAATTGCTTTTACAAAATGTAGCAATTAGGACTACTACCAACAATATATTTTATTTATGAGATTTCTTTCTCCTCATTATGTTTTCTCTGGTGTTGAATAAGCTGCGAGCTGTAACGATAGGCTTTCCCACACTCACTACATTTATAGGGTTTCTCCTTAGTATGGGTTCTCAAATGTAGAATAACTTGAGAAGTCTGCCTGAAGGTTTTTCCACATTCGTTACATTTATAGGGTTTCTCTCCAGTGTGAACTCTCTGATGATCAATAAGGTTTCGATTAGAAGTAAAAGCTTTCCCACATTCATTACATTTGTAAGGTTTCTCTCTACGGTGGAGTCTCTGATGTTCACTAAGGGTCTTCCTTAAAATGAAAGTTTTTCCACACTCATCACACTCGTAAGGCTTCTCCCCTGTGTGGATTCTCTGATGGTCTATAATCTTTGTATTAGAAACACATGTTTTCCCACACTCCTTACATTTGTAAACTTTTTTTCCTTTGTGCATTCTTTGATGTTGAGTAAGATTTGAACTACGGCTAAAGGCTTTCCCACATTCAATACAAGTGTAGGGCTTCTCCCCAGTGTGAACTCTATGATGTGAAATAAGACCTGAACTCCGACTAAAGGCTTTCCCACACTCCTTACATTCATACGTTTTTTCCCCACTATGGATTCCCTGGTGCCGAATGAGGTGTGACTTACCACTGAAAGATTTCCCACATTCACTGCATGTGTAGGGCTTCAGTCCAGTGTGGATTCTCCGATGAACAACAAGGTTGGAGCTATGACTGAAGGCTTTTCCACACTCCTTACACTTATAGGGTTTCTCTCCTGTGTGGATTCTCTCATGCACTGTAAGGTTTGCACTCTGACTAAAAGCTTTCCCACACTCAGTACATACATACTGTTTCTTTTCAGCCTGAATTCTCCTGCTTGTTATAGGATCCAAGCACTGACTACCATCTTTTTCAGATTCTTGCTCACTTACTTCCGTAAGTGTTTTATTGTCTTTAACTGTCTTATGCCTGAAATTTCTTGTCTTTCTCCTCATTTTCTCTTGCTTGAAACATCACAGTGGCCTGTTGAATCTTCTCTTTCTCTTCAGAGGAGCTTTTTAAATTTTGACTTCCTGGGAAACGCCTCTGTGGAGTTCTCTTGAAAGTGTAAGATTCTAATTTTTCAGGAATAATACTTTGCAATCAATACCTCCTCAGTTCCAGTTCCACCATCTGACAGAAGAAACAGAAATTGCATTATTACCTATTCTTTTTCCTGGAGGAAGGAGAATTATCCAAAGATAACAAGATGTAGTACATCACAGGGTCTCACATGGAAGAAGAAGTGTTCAAAGATGGCGGAACAGATCAAAAGCAAGATGAGAAAAATGAGGGTAGACCCCGAGACCAAGGTAAAGGCATATGGAAAGATAAGAGAGGAACCCAACAGATCCAGCATTAGGATAAGCAATGAATAATATAAAATCCATCCTGATTTCTTCCTGTCTCACATTCTACTCCCAGAATTGGAGCCATCAAACTCCCCACCTGGTTCCCAGAAAAAATGAACTGAAAGATCTTTAGTTCAGTAGCTCTTCTTCCTCTTAAAAAAAAAAAAGATTTAATTTATTTATTCATGAGAGACATACAGAGAGAGGCAGAGACATAGGAAGAGGGAGTAGAAACAGGCTCCATACAGACAGCGTGATGTAGGACTCAATCCTGGGACTCCGGCAGACACTCAAACACTGAGCCACCCAGGCATCCCTCAGTAGCTCTTCAAAAACAGTTTGGCTTTTAGTTCTTGCTGACCTATTCCCCTAATACCAATGATATAATGGCTGGCACAAAATAGATGCTCAAGAACTATTTCATAGATCAGCAACTGGGATGGTCTTAGGGTACAAGAATTCGTTTTTTGTTCTAAGTCCAGATACAAGGCCCCTGGCTACATCCCTGTTTTTAAGTTCTGTCTTAATAAGGGGTAACACTATTCTTCCAGTACCAGAACCTATTGGAGCCTAGTCACACCACAGCCTACTCTGTAGGGATTGCTCTGTAGCTGGATCCAGCCACATGCACTCATTCAGTCTGTCTGCTTCTCACCAAGCTATCACTCTGATAAGCTATCATTTAATCCACTGCAAATTTGAGAGTCTGAGTTGGGGAACAGGGCTAGCTAAAGCATGGCAGGGGAAACTCTGATAAGACTGTGCATGGTATAATGTAAGTATCTAACATTGGCAAAAGGGTGAAAGGAGGAGGCAGTGCAATCAAAAGGGGCAAATACATGAAACCCATGACAGGAATGAACATGAACTGCCTAGTGGATTTAACATGAAACTATGGACATACAGGTAACCCTAGGATATCTCAAATCTGGGGGGGACTGGAATCATAAAGGAAACAGAAAGATGACCCCATGATACAAACACATGATTAATGTTCCTTTTACCATGTTCCTCTTCAAATTTGTCCATATGTATAGTTATACAGTTACAAATATACAGTAGATATAATTTTGCATTCTACCTCTTTAAATTTCATATGTAACTTTCCACGTTAGTATTTTATCATCATAAGATCATTTTATGAAAATAAAATATACTACCAGTTGAATTCATTATAATTTACCTACAATTTTGCTAGTGTTAGACATTTCTGTTGCTCCCTGAGGTTTAACCACTTCAATAGTCACTTTGGATAAAGTTTTCTTCCAACTGAAATATGTTCCTAGAATAAAAGTTCCACAAAGGAGTTATTGGATCAGAAGGAATGAAATTGTTTTGCAGTGCTGCCTATTGCTTTTCAAAAAAGTCTGACCAGTTTCCATGGTCTCATAGCTTTTTCATAGGCTGAGTCACACTCTCTAAAGGAGAAGCATGTCCAGTGGTTCAGTGCTCAAGATCAGCAAGAAAGGAAGAGAACTTCCAATTGAGATTAGAATTCATATTTCAGGAATATAGGTGCCACGGATGCCATACAGGGACACATATATACAAATCTGTGCTCAAGATATAAACGCCGAGAAAATGGTGGTTGAAGGGTGGATTCTTGCCAGGATACTGAACACATCCAGCTGTTGTTACCTCTCCTAATCAATAAGGAGGAAACTTAGTGAGAAGCCAGGTGCCTGCAGAGCAGGGTGGGACAGAAAGTGAAGCCATTTCCAATGTTCTCTCTGGGAAAGTTGATGGTTCTTTCTGAATTTCTTTTCCATTTGCAATCTTCTCTAAAACTCTTTTTTTCATACATGTCTTAAAGTAGTAGTTACTGAGCATTCTACTCTGTACACATCTCTGTTTTGGATCTAACACAGGGAAAATTTTAAAAAGCATTATGGCAGGGATCCCTGGGTGGCACAGCAGTTTGGCGCCTGCCTTTGGCCTGGGGCGCGATCCTGGAGACCCGGGATCGAATCCCCACGTCGGGCTCCCGGTGCATGGAGCCTGCTTCTCCCTCTGCCTGTGTCTCTGCCTCTCTCTCTCTCTCTGTGACTATCATAAATAAAAAAAAAAAAAAAATTAAAAAAAAAAAGCATTATGGCAGAAAGGTAGAAAATAACTATTTGTGGATGAATGAATGGATGGATGAAAAGGTGGGTAAGTTTATATACTTACTGTTTATAGAGGCCTCTCATTTTGCTAGCAAATTGTCTTCTGCCAACTTGCATTATTTTTTAATTCTTTTTATAGTATTTCTTATGAAAAGTTGGGAAATGACTTCCCAACTTGATAATGGATCTTCATAATTATGAGAACAAGACATAATAAGGATTCAGAATGAGATAATGCCTTGAAGCCAGCCCCAGCTTGTCTCATTTCTAGGCATGACTGATCTGAAGCTTCCCAGTTAGCTATTGTAGTAACTATTCTGTCAAAGGCTGCTGTGGAAAAGATTAGTCTCGTGGCTTTCAAGAAAGAGGTGTTCATGGAAAATATTAATAGCCAGGTATTTACATGGCTCTGTCACAAAGAAATAAATACCATTATTGAATGTAAATAAATAAATACTATATGCTGGCAAACCAAACTTCAATTAAAAAATATTAAAAATAAAGGATTTTTTTTTATAAAGGATTGTTATGTACTGAATGTGTCCCCCTCATCCCTAATTTACGTGTTGAAGCTCTAATGTCTAATGTAACTATATTTGAATATGTGACCTTTAAGGAGGTAAATTAAGGTTAAATGAGATCATGAGGGTGGAGCTTTGACCTGACAAGATTAGTGTGTCCTTATAAGAAGACATAGGAGAGCTCTTTTTTTCTTTTTTTTTTTTTTGAGAGCTCATTTTTGCTTCCATTTCTGCCTCTCCTCCTCCCAATAAACTGAGGACAGCCATTTGAGCACACAACAAGAAGGTGGCCATTTATAAGCCAGGAAGAGAGTCCTCACCAGAAACTGAATCAGGTGGTCACCTTGATCTTGGACTTCCAGGCTCCAGAACTGTGAGAAAAGAAATGTCTGTTGTTTACACTGCCCGTCTTTGGGATTTTATTATGGCAGCCTGAGCACACTAATACAAGCATGAAGTATTGCATCTACCTTTAAGGAGCTTACAGTGGAGTAAATGGTGAAAAATGAAGAAGCCAAATTAAGTTTTATAAAGTACCCAATCAAGAGGTGAAGGGTGAGAGGGAAGGGAACATTTACTGAATTGAATCCCTTTGGGGAAAGGTACTTTGAGAACGCACACCTTTGGATGAGCCCCAGAAGATGAAATTATTTCCTCCAAAAGAAGCTTGTGGAAAGGCAGGAAAAAAAAAAAAAAAAGATTGCACAGGGCCAGTGTACTCAGAAATAAGCGTGAGATTACAGTATCACATAGCTTCATGACGGTGGGGATTTTGTCCATTTTGTTCACCTTTGTCTTCCCAGCAACTAGCACAGTCCCGGCATTCAGTAGGAATCAAAAAAATTTTTGTTTGAATGAACAAATGAAGGAATGAAAGAAGTTGCCTGTATGAGTCAGAACACTGAAATTATGGGGCATATATGGATATAATTTAATGGTCAATGGGAAATAAGTATTTACCATCATCGTTTTCTTTCCCCAGTCTACATTCTTTTGTCTACCTTTCTGTTCTCCTGTCTCACTCTCACTTGTCAATAACACAGTTTTTCGAGCATTGCTATTCATATCCCCTAGTTCTCAAACTTCCCTCCACACCCCAGCACATTAATAATTCTCTCAGCTTCATGGAGTAGAAAACAGGACAGAGGCAGCTGGGTATCCCACGAGTTGCAAATTGAAGAAAACAGAATCAAGAGATGCCACCTAGGAGTAGAGCGTTCATATATCTCAGATGTCCCAGAACAAAGCTGGCTTATACCTGCTATTCTAGCATCATTATAAATCAGTGGCCTCATGAACTCACAAAAATATCCCAGTTTGGACAATAAATTTCACATCATCCTTCCTAGACATGGCATGAGGAAAAGAACGCTTTAGGGTATAACATTGTATGTCAACTATACTTGAATTAAACATGTTTCTTTAAAAAAGAATGCTTTAGGAAGATTAGCCCAGATGGAATAGAGCTGCAAGAAAGAATGGAGGAAGGGAAATGAGTGGGGAGACTTTAGGAATGCAGTATTCGTGACCCCTCTACTGAGGGTCTGCCACTTTCTAGGTGCCCAATAAATGTTTGTTGAACGAATGAATAAATGAATGTGATAGTGAGACCCTAGTCCAGGATAATGATAGGAAAGAGAAGGATGAAATCTAGCTATTTCCAGGAAAGCATATACTTATATCAGACTGAATACAGAGGATGACTAAAAGAAAGAATTCAAAGTTACCAGATCCAGGTCTGAATATCAACAATGGTCATGTCACTAAGGAAGATGAAGAACAGGAAAACACTTTAGATGAGAAGAGGAAGAATATGTCAGGAATGCAAATTTGAGAGTAAGACAGAGGGGACAGAGGAAGTCATGCAAATGTATAAGCTCACTGACATAGAGATTTTGGTTAGAAAAGCAGGAAGGGAGAAAGAGAAATGCACAAGGATGTGCCAAAAGGAAGCCCAATGTGGTTCTGGGGACCTGAGAAAGAAACAAGACTTATCAGAAGACCAGGGAGGGCTGGTCTAAGGAGAGGTTGGTCAAAAGAAAAACTACTTGTCCTCTGTCTGACTGAATGGGAAATTCCCTCAGAAAGAATTCCCAGGCACTGATATGTGTGCGGGGAGGTGAACTCTTGGCTAGAGAACTAGGAGGAGGGACAGATGAGACCACAGGGCCAGGAGGACACCAGGGGTATCCAAGCAACTGTGCATAAAAGCATAATCTCAGACAACTGGCAAATGAACCAATGAGGCTCCACAAATCTCCAACCTACAAATCCCTGAGACTGATGGGTGAGTGATCTTAGGACCACGTTCAGTGCAGGCTATAAGAAACTCACAAAGGGCAGGGTCATATTCCCAGAAAGAGAGAGAAAGTAGTTTTACCTTGGGAGGTCGTATTCCTTTAATTCACCATCATCACCTGCCTGATCAAGTCTCTGTGAGCAGTGGTCACATGGTCCTTGGTTACTGATTAGCTGCAGCGGATCGAGGACTAAGAGGGAATACCTGAAAAATTCCAGAGAGACTGATGAATGAAATATCAAAATTGAAAAGAAAGAAAAAATAAAAGAACTGGGCGAAAAAAATCAGGGGATAATTTGATCCCAGGAAGCAAAAAGCCTAAAACAAGCCTGACATCATAACAAAAGCAGATAGATTTGATCATACAGAAATTCCTGTACTTCAAAAAAAAAAAAAAAAAAGCCACCGTAACAAATCTGTAATATGAACTACAGTTGCCTTATACTAAAGTTATCTGGGTATATGTCTGTGTCATTCTTCTTTCCAAGTACACATTAAGCTCTAAGCTCCCAAGAGCAAGGCCCATAGTATTCATATGTGGATTCCACAAAGTACTTAGCATAGAGGGGGTTCAGTAAATGTTATGATTTGAAATGTTAAACAAGTTCAAGATTCTATCTGGGTGTAGGGATGGTAAGAACTCCACGCTCCACACATGACCGCTGCCATCTCTCCTCCGCTTGTTCATCTCTTTCGTGCTTCATCTTGCCTGAACACCATGACAGTATATATTTAAAGTCTCAGCAGTGTTGTCTCAACAGGGCTATCCAGGGACCCCAATTCTGAGACTGACCTAGTCTAACTACTCAGAGATTCCCAGAATGTCAGTGCTGGAAGGAATCATGCGGATTCCAAGTGACCTCTCTCAAAAGTAGTGATGAGGACATTGAAACTTAGAAGAAAGCTATGACTCAAGTCCAAGTCTCCTGCCATCCAAAGTTGAGTTCAACTATATTACTGTTGAACTCCCACCCCCAAACTCTACTCCTCAAGGTCCCACTTCTCTGCTTCTCTTCTCAATAAAGAGCCATCCGGAAATGCTCCCTTGCAGTCATGGTCCTTTCCGCTAATCGGCAGGATTCCTGTCCCCAGGTAACTCATTTCACACTATAGGTCTCTCACCTGCCCGGCACAGAAAGCCTCACTCCAAAGGGTCTGCCCAGCACAAGTCTTGCCTGATCTCTTTCTCGGGTTTGCTAAGGAAGTTCCTAATGGGGTGTTGAATCGCTGTAAACAGACAGAAATGATTGAATTCTCCCAGAGCTCAACTCAGGTGGACACTCAGAGTAGTGTCCCATCCGTGGGTAACTCCCCCTCCTATAGAAGCGTGAGCAGTAAGGACGATCATTCCCATTCTGAAGATGAGGAAATGAAGCTACCTGACACTGAATTACTTGCCAAAGGTCGTATGGCTGGTGAGAAAGAAGGCTTCTGTGGCTGAAGATCTACAGTGACTCCTTTCTACCTGTTGTTTGATCTATATAAAAAGTCTCCATACTCGGGATCCCTGGGTGGCGCAGCGGTTTGGCGCCTGCCTTTGGCCCAGGGCGCGATCCTGGAGACCCGGGATCGAATCCCACGTCGGGCTCCCGGTGCGTGGAGCCTGCTTCTCCCTCTGCCTGTGTCTCTGCCTCTCTCTCTCTCTCTCTCTGTGACTATCATAAATAAATAAAAATTAAAAAAAAAAGTCTTTAAAAAAAAAAAGTTTCCATACTCTTCTCTAACTGCAAAACGCATTCCCGCTGCTCTCCAGCTTTCCAGCCAGTCTGCGGCAGGAAGAGGAGACTTTGCTGAGTGTCAAGGATCTTGAGAGAGGAAGAACTAAGGCTTTAAAGGAATGAAAGTGTTCTCGTTTGTTTTTAACGATTACCTAATTCTTAGGATGACTCGCCCTCCAAGTCTGTGTTTTCAAGCCCTCCAGACTTCCAGACTTGGCTTCTGGCTTTCCAAGCTTGTTCCGTTTCTTCCCTTCCAGAAAACACACAACGGTAACCCCAGGACCTAGCACTTCGTGGTAGGTGCTCAACGAGGATTTGGTGGGTGGGTGGATGGGCGGATGGATGCGTGAGTAGCCTCCTGCACAGCTCTGTCCTCTCTGCGTCTCGTTTCCTCACCGGGGACGCAAGGGGCGCCACTGGCGATCCGGTTCACAGCGGGGGTGAACTAGGGCTGCGGAATCCTCCAGTCTGGCCGCGGTCTGCACTGCCGTTCCGGGGGCGGCCTGCCGGCCAGGGCGGGGGCCACCACTGTGAGCCCCGTGACAGCAGCTAGGCGGGGTTGGAGGGGGAGCCCAGACAAAGGGACAGCGCCGACCGAGGGGGCCGAGGCCCGAGGCCAGCCCTGGACACGCCCGCGGTGGCGGCGACGGCGGCGGCGGCGGCGGCGGCGGCGGCCCGAGTCCCGGCCGCTGGCCCCCGCCCGCTCCCAGGACGCGCACGGAGGCCCCGCCCAGGGCCGCCACACCCCGCTCACCCCGGCGCCCGGCCCGCAGCTCGGGACGCGGCGCACACGGAACGCGTCACCGACGCCGCGCGCGCGCTCCTTCCCCTCCCGCCCTTCTAGGCGTCCGGAGGTCCCGGCGTCTCTGTGCCCCGGAGGCGGAGTCGGCCAGCTCCGCGGAGCTCCGGCCCCACGTCCCGCGCGGTGTGCGCCGAGCCCGGGCCCGAGGACGCAAGGCCTGGGGGAGCTCGGCCGCGGCCGCGGAAGCCGAGACGGCTCTGGACCGGGTGGAGCCTGGTGGGAAGGGGAACCCAGCAGCGCGGCGACCGTGGGAGGCTCCCTGGAATGAGGTTCCCTGCTCGGGAAAAGCGGCGTTTCCTCCCACAGACCCCGCCCGCACCTGTCCGCCTCGAAGCCAGAATCAGTCCCCGTCGACCGCCAGCGAGTAGGAGGAGTCCGCGCTGGGCGCTCCCGGTCGCCGCTCTGACGCTGCAGATGAGGCAGCGAGGAGCACGGACTCGCTGCCTCGTAAAGCTTCCCTTCAAGTCAGGGGACATGAAGACAGATAAAGGCATCCGGGGAGAGTGTTCCCAGCAGAGGGAACATCAGGGGCAAAGTCCTTGAGTCGGGCGGGGGGGGGGGGCTGTGGGGCGCGTTTCGGACCTCAGAGACCACAGGGCTTCGGATGTGCCAGGGGTAACCTAGGACGGGTTTGGAACTGAGGACTGACGAGATCTTATCTTTTTTCTTTTCATGGCACATGTCCAAAGTCTATTAGCTATTAGATACAAAAGAAGCCAAGAAACTTGTTCTGCGAATTCTGTGAATTTCTTGCTCAGAGTCCCTGGTCATTCTGACGGGAACCTCACGCGGAAGTGTTACTTGATGACGTGACATTCAAAAATTCTGTTCTGGCTGCTCTGTCCAGAACAGTCTGAAGGGTGAGAGTAGGATCAGGGAGATTGAGGCTATTGTAGTATTCCAGATGAGAAACAATTGTTGCTTGAATCACCTTAGAAATGATGGGGGTGATGAGAAATGGTTCTGCATATACAGGTGATCCTTGAACGACGTAGGGGTTAGGGACACTGACCCTGACAACTAAAAAAATATCCACATATCCCCATTTTAAATGGCCCCGAACTTACAAAGCCCTACAGACAACACAGTCCATTCATACTTTTGTATGTTACACGAATTGCGGCTCCCCAGCCAGACTCTGACCCTGAGGTCAGCCCTATAAACACCGCTGCGTTTGGAGACACTACTGCCCCTAAAGTTCACACCCCTGGGGCCACGCCCTGTCAAAGACCCCTGACTTACAGCTGAGGGCCCAGGACCACTGCCTCCCCAGGCCTTTAGGGGGGTGCATTCTTGAGTGTCTACTCCTAGCGGTCCTACTTCTATAGTGAACATAAAAAGAGTCAGCTTCAACATGAGGACCCCCTCATCCTCATCATGGGCTGTTCCTCTGGGCCATTGACTATGTTTTCTTTCAGATTTGAATTGGTTTTTTTTTTTGGGAGGCAAATGCATGGCCCCAGGGAATAGCTTCCTTGAAAATTAGCCGATGTTCTCCATCTTCTTCCTAGGCTGGATCATGTGTGGGCCTTGTTAGATGGGAAATAGATATCTAGTCTCGACCTCTGGAACCGTGGAGCCAACTGAATGCCCATAGATACAGCATTTCATCCTTACTCCCTGCCCTGCAATTTTTCCTAAAGGTGAGAAACGCTTCTGCATTTCTGCAACCTAAATGAATAGGTTAAAGGTTATAGTTCAATCACTGTGGTCACAGTCCTCACAGAGCAGTTGATGGAAGTATTCCTCTTCCATTTTCCTCCAGACCCGGATGTGGTGGGACTCATTCTGCCTAAGCTTGACTCTTCCCCTCTCCCTGTTTTCTACTCAGAACCCTCATTTCTTCTCCAGAACTAATCATAAAAGTTTGTTCCTATTTCTCTGCATAATTCTCATGTGCCTGTGATCTGTAAACCAAATGCAGAAAAACACTGATTTGGAGGAAGGGTGACATGGGGGCTGGGCCTGTTTCAAATTTCCTATGGCCCACCTAACAGGGTAGAGAGAATAGCATACCTTGATGGCTAGAAGGACTGACACCTGCATCTGACAGTGTGTTTGGGGTCCAAAGATGCAGCGCAACATAAATGTGTCCCAGGGGAGGTATAAATGGGGAGACTTATCCCTGTCTCTTGGAACTGATGATACTCAAAATCCTTTTTGACTTGGGGCAGGCTGAACATCCCCACTATATACCCAGAGTCCACACTCTACACATTTCACCTTGTCTAATGTAGTCATTTATGTTGTAACTTTTTGCTTTATTATCCCAGGCAAATATTATACATAAATAACTGATATAAGGAACATGGCCTGGCTTTACAACTGCTGGGTTGGGGAAAACACAGCAGGTTTTCATTTTAGGATATGACATATCCCTGAGAAACTCCTGACATCCTATTTTAAAAATCAGAGGGAATCACTCATTATATCTCCTCCTTTTCCCAACAATAGGGTACAAAAGGGAGCTATATGCAGAGGGAACAAGCTAAGGTTAATTTCTATTACAAATATTAATAATTTGTGGTCTCATATGTATGGGACTTAGACATTAACACTCCTGTCATAGCAATAAGACAAAAGCTGAAGAAGATGAAAAGAAACAATTCTTCAAAGATCCATCAGAGAACTGAGATCTCAGTGCAAACTGTCACCAAAAAATCTAGAGAGACAGGTGAATACAGAAGTATCAGAGCTTCAGAAGCACCTGTGTTTGCAGGAGCCAGAATCTGGGCTGCAAATTTATAATGTGAATGAAGAATCCCTGGAAGCTCTGTGAGCATGGGTGGAAAGTGAAAATCTACGGGGGGGGGGGGGTATTTTGATGGAGGACTCTTCACTTCCATGATTACCTCCGTTAGCCCTGTCCCCAACATTGTGAGGATGAAGGTCAAGGAAAAGTCCTTCTACTTCCAGCTGAAAAGAAGTGATGCAACCATTCTGGAACACACCCAGAGCCCTCTGTTCTCCTTAAGGAAGCCTTCCCTCAAGGGAAACTTGGGTTGCAGAGCAGTCACTTTGGGTTTGACCACACCATAACTGGCCTGAGGAGAGGAAATATCCACACCTAGATCCCTCCAGGTTTCTATGAGCATGAAGGAACCCAACTTCAGTTCCCTCTGCTATTCTCTTAACTAATGGAAACAAAGGTCTTGGAAGCACTTGTAAAAGGTCAAGTCCTAGGGACACATGCTCACTAAACCCTGAGACCTAATCATACAACTACACAACACTTCTCCTTCCTTACACACTTCTGCTGCATTAATGGGGGCCTGATATCAAGATGCAATTTCAACTGAAGAACATCTGCTCTCAGATATTACTGAAGAAGAAGTAGCAAGGAAAACCAAAGCAAACAGGAGAGACAAACAACAACAAAAAAAAAACTCTTTGAAAATACAAAGGACCTCAGAGAAATTTATAGCTTCAGGCACCTCAGGCTTGCAGCAAACAGTGAACATGGAAAAATCTTCCAGAACATAAAAAGCCACATTAATGGAAACATTATTATAAATTTATTAAGTGAGAGAAGGAGACAAGATTCCAGAAAGGAGTAGGGGTCCTTGATTCATCTGGTCCCCCAAACTTAACCTAGATAACTTTCAAAACATCCTGAACAACTATGAATTCTTTTTTAATAATAAATTTATTTTTTATTGGTGTTCAATTTGCCAACATACAGAATAACACCCTGTGCTCATCCCACCAAGTGCCCACCTCAGTGCCCGTCACCCATTCACCCCCACCCCCCGCCCTCCTCCCCTTCCACCACCCCTAGTTCGTTTCCCAGAGTTAGGAGCCTCAGAAAGTTTCCCTTTCTGATATTTCCTACCCATTTCTTCTCCCTTCCCTTCTATTCCCTTTCACTATTATTTATATTCCCCAAATGAATGAGAACATATAATGTTTGTCCTTCTCCGATTGACGTATTTCACTCAGCATAATACCCTTCAGTTCCATCCACGTTGAAGCAAATACACATATGAATTCAACCTGAGTAAAGAGAGAACAGCTGGAATGCTACAGAGAGAAAAGCAATCTCTTCTGACAAGGTAGGAAGGCAGAAAAGAAAGGCAGGGGAGAAGGGGAGCTGCAGAAAGCCACTGCAGAAAAGTGGTACAGTGAACAAATGGGAACGTTAGAAATATGCTCCTGAAAGAGACTTCCCTAACTGAAAAGGGCTCATCAGAGAAATAGAGCAGAATTGCAAGAGGGGCAGTGAAGCCTCAAAATTCCCAGAGACACAATAAGAATAGGGGTTCTCTGGAGAAAGCTCACAGCAAATTGTAGTCCAATCTCAGTAAAGGGCTGGAGCACTACAGTCCTCCTGGGCATTTGAAAGAAGCAGGCTGGCACTAGTGCTCCCTTTACCCTAGAGCCTTACAATGGACAGAAGTGGCTGTCCTACATTCCCTTCGGGAGAGGTGGACCCCAGGAGCGTGGGTCCAGGAGTAAAGGGCCCCCCATCCCAAGGTGCCGAAGCAGAAAAAGCCAGAAATCCTCCCTTCCCCTGAGACAGGCAGAACCAGACAGGGCACAGGACAGCAAGAACTCTACTTCCTCTGGGTGCCCTGCAAGCTGTGCAGATCAGTGCACCCACGCTAGCCCCCAGGAGCATCTAGGCCAGTGTGGACTGGGAGACTGCAATTAGGTACTTGCTGGGAGATCTTAGATTCTGAGCAGGAGATCTGGCCACTGCCATTTTTTTCCCTCTCTTTTCGCTTTTCAGCTGGTAGAGACGGGGCCTCTAGGGAACAAAGGCCTCATGGGATAAACAACTCATACAGAGCCCAGCACCAGGCAAGGGTTTTTCTTTATTCTGTCTCATTTTGTTTATAATGCTGGAAGTTAGTACCTTCTAACACACAACCAAAATACACGCAGAACCAA